GAGGTTTTCAAACCTGACACTTTTTGGAATATTTATCAACATGGAGAAATTGAATATGAAGACACTTGCAAATTAAAACCAGAAACTGTGGACCCATTTACCTGCATGGGGGAGAAAATACTCCGTGCTAGGTCGAATACAGGGAGCATTTAACATTGAGTTTTGAGTATAAAATCTGAATTATACCTTAACCAACACAAAGGTTATGATTAAACACAGATATCGTATTTCTGGTTGATATTAAAGAATCTTATTTACCAGGAACTTTTATAATAAATAAGAACTAAAACTAACAGTGGAGGAAAATGTAGTGGTAGATACCCCAAACAAGAAAAAAAACTCAAGTAAAGATGGGTGATACAGCTTCCTGGCCAGCTGGCTGAGTTTGGATTTATAGTCCCCAGCTGAGAGCTGGTCCGCCTGGGCCAGAGCTGCAGATGTGCCTCAGAGCCAAGGGCAGGAAAGGCTCGAATCGACCCCATACAGCAGATCTGCCTTTAGCAGGACTTGGCCAGGTGGGCTCACTTCCATGTGCATGAAGCAAAGCTGTCATGGCTGGAGGGAGTCTTGCCCGGATGGAGTCTTGCACTCACACAGAGCAGAGCCGTGATGATCAGGAGGGAGGGGATAGCCACTTCTTTCCAGGCATGCAGAGACACTGCTGGTGATTCAGCCCCAAAGAAGAAACAGCCTGGTCAGTTTTGGACAAGTCCTCAGCTCCTTCTGACCCAGTACAGTCACAAGGTCAAGTTCAGTTGTGTGAGAGCTAATTCTTCCTTTTCCAGATTTTTTTTCTGAATTTTGACATATTTGATATAAATAGTACTCTGTTTACAAAGAACTTTCCTGAAGAAACCAAACCCAGGCTGACTTAACTCTTCTTAAGAAGATTTAAAAAAAGCAAAACCAAACATACTAAGTGACCTTGAACACATACTGTGGCTTTCTCCTCTGGAAAGAAATCAAAGCATATTCTCTCTGCAGTAATTAAACTGGTGAAGGAATGCATGTTATTAAGCAGAAACTAATATAGCATGTGTGAATTCTGGTAGTATTTGAGAAATAAAATAAATGACTAGTGCTGATAATTAGATTTGGTTGGCTAATTGAATATTGCTTTGCTTCTCAGTTAAGTGAATACTATGTATGAGACAGACATTATGGAATGAAAGTTCTTGTCCCCGGTTTATTGCCAACATGCAAACAAAGCAATGGGGATAAAGACCACAGAAACATATCTTATAATAAGAATAGGATAAAAATGCTACTGGTGGACTTATGTTTTCAGCTTTCTTATCTCGTTAAGTTTTGCAGTCCAGCTTGTGATTCTTTAGATCAGCATTAGACAAAGACAACTTTTGCTAACAGTACTTAACATTTTGCACAATCTTTTAAAGCCTTGGCAAAGGAAATGAGGGAAATATGGGTCTTACTCAAAGGGAGGGTGGAGTGAGAAGGGAACACATATTTTTGAAGGTCAATGGCTCGGACATGTTAACACGCAAAAGAAACGGGGTGGGAATTTCAGAAAATAACTCTTCTTCAGTCAGAGCATTTCCATACAGGTATTTGTTAACTCTTGTTGTATATCTAAGTCACTCTTCAGACTTCCTGCAATAAAACTGAAGGCCAAGGTCTGATCTCAGCTGTGTAATGAACACAGAGTGGGTGATATAGGGGGAGTGCAGTCATAAATAGCACACACCTGAGATTAGAAGGGGAAGTTAACATCAATTTATGGAGCACAAAGTCTCCAAAACGTGGTCAAAGTTTGCACCATTTGTATTGTGAGAAGAAATGGTATTGTGGAAGACTTGAAACCATATTTTTAACACAGTATCTGCTATGGGGGTTTGAGGGATGGTAATTTTTCCTGATTATCCAGATTAGCTAGCTGTGCAAGAAAACTGTCAAATGAAACAGTACAAGCTCATGGCTCAAAGATCAGATAGGAAGAAAATGACAGTTTTCTAAAATTCCTTGTTTATTTGCTACTCGACGTTGCAAAAATTCTACTTCCTCATTAGCATGTGGTCCATCAGTTAACAGAAAAAAGAGGTGTTTACTGGCCAATAATATTTGACAGATAACTTGTAATCTTAAAAATTAAGTAAAATATTAAGAATTGACTGTTCAAGGTCAATACACCTTTCCAAAAAGGGTGACTAGTGAATCTAAATACTGAATTAACTCCAAAAAGGCCAACCCAAGTGGACATTCACAGAGTAATCAAAAAAGAAAAAATAATTCCATTGTGAAATTATTTGCACTAAAATATTAATTCATTTATAAACCTACATGATTCCCCCTCTATTCCAGCATTATAAAATACAGAACAGGCTGTATGAATGAACCTTAAACTCCCTACTGGAAAACTACTCCTTCAAAACATTGTGTAGTCTAGAATAGAAATTGTCTAAAATACATGCTCACCTAGGAGCAATAGTACAGCTGAGGAAGTACCAAAGGCTGAAACACTGTGTTCCATCAGGAAATTATCTGAGATGCTCACTATTTTGTAAGTGCTGTTATTTAGCTTGAATTTTTACAGTGTCAGCAAAATAGCTGTCAGGCCCTACCCTAATTCAAACATAAAATGACAAAAACTCTTTTGGTTTTACAATTGAGGTTAAGAAAAATTAAACATCAACTCACACTGAGCTTGGATGGAGCTTTTGGGGTCCATAACCTACTATCATAGCTCTTCTCCAGAGTTACAGAAGTGCAAGATGGTTTTCTTCCCCAACTGGCCAGCAACTATGAGACTCTGAAAGAAATTAGATGATAAAAATTGTTCTTCTGCTTTTTTCCCCTAAAATATGAAGGACGTGGGAGTTGCCTTTAATAATCTGCTTGGTTAATTTTCTGCTAATGGTCTGACACTGTGAATTCTTACCCATTTACCAAAAGTCCACATTCCTCTGCACTGACCACTCTCTTTTTTTTTTTTCAGAATGTTTTTAGACATTTTAGATAACAGCCAACAAAATAACCTCTCTCTTCCTGCCCTTCACCCTCCTCCCCCAAATTTCCATTGAGATTGCATTTAGTATAAAAACATCCTTTCCCGTTTCTCAAATGACTGAGAGCTCATGCTCAAGAGATTGCTATTGGGGCAATAAGGTCACTGGTGTCCTTTTGTGCAGAGTGCTCCTGCTTCAACAGAGGAGGAGAAAGACAAGAAACATCTCCCAGGAGCTAAGAAACTTCCAGGTCCTGCTGTCAACTTGTCAGAGATTCAGAACATAAAGAGTGAGCTGAAGTTTGTCCCCAAAGCTGAACAGTAGCTGGAACAAGCAGGTGAGTAAAAGAGAGGTTCTTTGCATGGCTCTAGGAGAAGCAGGCTGATCCAGAAAACTCTTTGTGTCCAAAGGTGGCTTTCCAATTATTTCAAAGGTCCTGGAATCACTCACCATATTTCAAAGACAAAATATAAGAAGAAAAGGTCATAATCCTTGGAATTCTCTCTTATTTCAAATATGGAATATAGAGAAGACTATGTACAATGATATATGGCACCCATCAACCGGCCTAACAAAAAGCATATTCAGCTGTTAGGAATATTGAAGCCAGTTTAAAAATAGCAGCTTCTTGCTTTGCAAGCACAAGTTCCAGGTTTACAGAATATAGGACTTGTGTCTGTACACACTAACTACAAACAAATGTATTACAACACAAATAAATTTATTGCAGTGATGGACAAGCAGATCAGTATTTTTAAAAAGCTCCTTTGGAACATTAGATATTTGATATTATTTTATTTCTGTAATTCAAAACTGACATGCTAATAGCTCTATGTACTTTCTCATACAAACATTCCCAATCCTACTTGTGGCACCCAAGGACTTGCTACATATCTGTGTGGGGCTCAGAAATATGGTATAGGACTTCAAGGAGATCTGTGCTCTTTTCAAGTGGCAGCTGGAGACCAGGTAGGGACCCTCAGGCACTGCAGACAGCACCAGATACCTATGGGTTAGCACCATAGCTCGTACTTCATCTTATTTTGCTTTATGTCTGGATAGAGATAAGTGACAAGTGGTGTTCCTCAGGGGTCCATACTGGGACCAGTACTGTTTAATATCTTCAACAATGACATAGACAGTGGGATTGAAGGCACCCTCAGCAGGTTTGCAGATGACATCAAGTTGAGTGGTGCAGATGAAACGCCTGAGGGAAGGGATGCCATCCAAAGGGACCTGGACAAGCTTGAGAAGTAGGCCCATGTGAATTTAATGAGGTTCAACAAGGCCAAGTGCAAGGTTGTATACCTGGATCAGAGCGACCCTCGGTATCGATGCAGGCTTGGGGATTAAGGGATTGAGAGCAGCCCTGAGGAGGAGAACTTCAAGGTACTGGTGGATGAAAAGCTGGACGTGAGCCAGAAATGTGCGGTTGCAGCCCAAAAAGCCTACCGTGTCCTGGACTGCATCAAAAGAAGTGTGACCAGCAGGCTGAGGGAGGTGATTGTCCCCCTCTACTCTGCTCTGGTGAGACCCTACCTGCAGTACTGTATCCAGCTCTGGAGTTCTCAGCACAGGAAAGCCATGCACCTGTTGGACTGAGTCCAGAGGAGGCCATGAAAATTATCAGAGGGGTGGAGCACCTCCCATATGAGGAAAGGCTGAGAGAATCGGGGTTGTTCAGCCTGGAGAAGAAAAAGCTCTGGGGACACCTTCTATCAGCGTTCCAGTACTTAAAGGGGGCTTATGAGAAAGATGGGGACAACCTTTTTAGTAGGGTCTGTAGTGATAGGACAAGGGGTAATGGTTGTAGACTAAAAGAGGGTAGATTTAGACTGGATATAAGGAAGGAATTTTTTACAATGAGGGTGGTGAGGCATTGGAACAGGTTGCCCAGAGACGTGGTAAATGCCCCATCCCTGGCAACGTTCAAGGTCATGTTGGATGGGGCTCTGAGCAACCTGATCTAGTTGAAGATGTCCCTGCTCATTGCAGGGGAGTTGGACTAGATGATCTTTGGAGGTCCCTTCTAATCCAAATTATTCTATGATTCTATGATTATTTTATTAAAAAGTAAATATTTAGCACTTCAACACAGATTTCAGAATAATTTCCATCTGATAAGCCTTCATTGTTCTACATTCTGAGCCTGAGATAAATTAATGATAATTTCTGTCCATGAAATTATCCTCTGATTTTCTTTGAAAAGCCTGAATCAGTAAAGATGCATCAGGCAGTTACAATGAAAATTCAGCTGTCCAGCTGTCCAGCTGTCCAAAAAAAAACCCTGGCTACAGTCAGAAAAAGGATAGTTGTGTCATGTAGCAGTAACCTGAATTGCCAGTTGTGCCTATTGACACAAGCCCTTTTTATCATGAAGAGGGGCAGAGAGGCTAAGCTGAGTAGAAAAACATCATCTGGAATTTACTGCACTGAAACATAAATGAAGAACAGAAGAAAGCAGAAAGCAGTGCAAAAGGATTCTGGGAATGCAGAAGCTCTATGGACCAGGAATCTTGAAAGAAATGGCATATAATCTCAGTGAATTGCCTCAATACACACTGCAACATTAACTTATTTTTATGTACAACAAATATGCCATTTAGAAGGAAGAAGTGTTTAGTTTTTTCTTGCTTTTACCCTGCTGTGTCATAATGTTCCTGTCATTTTAAAGAAACAATGAAGTCTTTCTCTTCAGAAAACTTGGGAAAAGGAAAATTAACATTTTGTAAAATGTAACATTGTAGTCATTGCACTAAAGCAGTGCCCAGAGAAATATGATTTTTTAATGTGAGGCTTTAAAGAGGTTTTTCTCTGTAAGAGATATTTAGACATAAATTTAACTCCATATTTATTCTCTGAAGATTGCTATTTTCAATGTTTAAAACAGTTTTTTAAAAATTAGCTTACTGAGAGTCTGATGGAAACATTTAGGGTTTGCACAGAGGTTCACTCTAAAGAAAAGATTTCTACGGATAGGTCAGCAAAGTGAAGGGCACCTTGAAAGCTGGGAGGTCATTATGAAGTAATTTCTGTCTCTATCCTTCTTTTGATGTTGTATTGGTTATCAGGTTCTGACTGTGACACAGATTTCTAGATTTTGGATAGTACAGCCACAGATCATATCTGAAAACTTTATTTCTAGAAGAGCTGCAGGCATGGTACTCACTGGAGACTAGGACTTTGGGTTTGGTTGCAGTGCAGAACTAAACATGTGCATAAATTCTACATAAAATTGAGATGTAAATCAATCACTTGCTACATCCAGAAGCCTTAAATGGTACTAAATCTAAGGATTGTCCTCTGTCGAGGGCATTCATCAGTTCAGTTGTTTTAGGCATGACCTTGTATAAAATGTGATGTAGTCAGTGATTTGTTTTATGACTGACCGTGCCAAGATTATTTGCAAGAAATCCATGCTCACATCTACCTGATACTTTGCTTCATCTCCAAGAAGGGGTTACTGATCATCCTTTGGATGTGGTCCTCTCTAAAGAATGATAAACTGACTGGTCAATAGAATATGCCTGTGCAAAGTGCATACTGATAATTGAGGGTGTTCTTCAGTTTTCACAGTTCGGAAATTAATCTCCTCTCAGATGAGTACAATAAACTCTTCAGATAGTCACTGTCAAGGGATTTCCCTTTCTTAGTATTTTTCTGTTTCTTGTGGTACTCTGTAGGAAATGCCCACTGAAACTGGCACTTATTTACAAACCCATTCTTACATAATTTGCACTTTAGAGTAATTTCTGTTAAATATATTTGGTCTTGCTCTTTCACCAAATTAGGAAACATGAATAGACTTGCTAAAGTCATAGTTGTGAGTCTAACAGTTGGTGGGAGGGATATAATTACTGAGGAGTCATGAAGCTGGATCCACTGAAGGTCACAAAGTGCTTATCAGTTAAGATATTCCTGTAGTCATCCTCTGCTGCTGGTCTGTCATCTACAATTAACTAATTAGCATACACTTCTTTGTTATAAAGATTTTTTCCTGCCACAAACATGCAGATGATATGTTTGATGCAGTTAGTTTTAATATATAAAATGAGTTGTGATTCCTTTTCCTTTTCTCTGTCTACATTTTTTTTTGGTGCTCCCTTCACACGTGCACATTTCTACATGCACAAGAGTGAAACATATGCAAAAAAAACCCCCAACAAAATAGCACACACTAATCAGCTAAATATACATCCTGTTGAAAAAGTCATGGTAGGAAGCATTCAGTTTGTGACAAATGGAGCCTGCTGTGGCTTAGATTTAATGCTGATTGATTGTTGTGATAACTCACATGTTTACTAGCATGGTGGTTGTTCCTGAAAATGGGACTGAGCACAAATTGACATTTCACTTGAGCATGTATATTAATCACAGCCAGTTAATACTGCAACTCATATTTGGGTTCGTTCTTCGTTCTGTACTCCTTCATGTTTTGTGTCCTGAAGTGTGGGGGTTTGTGTAACAAGACTTTTTACAAGGCACTGTGAAGGACCATGGAGTCTGAATGCTGGACTTTGATTTCAAAGGACCTAAACTTTCAGCTAGAGTGGTCTAGTCTTTTCTTCTTGAAGGAGACTTTCCTGCTTACTGAAGGAACTTCTCAAAAGGAAAAATGGGAAATCTACTGCCTTGAAGTTACAAAAAAGTCTGTTGTGGACATTGGGGCAGCACTCCTGGTGCTGTGTTCTGGTCATGTTTGGAGAAAAGGCTTGTCAGGATCCCCCTCACAGTTCTACTCAGAATTTGGTCAGACCAGGTTGCTGAGCCATGCCTGGGCTGTTCCTGATGGGGTACCTATCTTGTTCAAGGTGAGAGAAACCATGCAACAGGGACTTGTAGATAACCTGTTGTCTTTACTTGTAACTCTGCTAGGGAGGGTGGTTTAGCTGCAGAAGCTGAGTGGGAGTTCTGTTGTCAGGTTACAGGAGCAAGGGAGTTGTATTTTGAGGGCAGAAGATTAAACAGCTAGCAAAAGCTTCCTAGGGCAGCTTAGACTTTGTATTCCTTGCAGCATTACCTCTTCTGTAACATATTGGGAAACATGCCTTGCAAAAATGAGGAATCTTGTCAGCAGAGCAGCCTCTGAAATTGGCATCACTTGGGGAAGAAAGAGAGAGAAAGGGAAGAGAAAAAAAAAATAAGTCCCTTAGGGAGGGAACAGAGCTTTTATTTTCATACTTACAAGATGTTCCTTGGTGTTGCTATTAATTCTTTACAAAAAATGTCAATTATCCTGGGCTAAAAATACACATTATGACTTTGTCCACTGAGTACTGTGGATTTTAATTACAGTTTCATGCTATATACTGCTGTTAAGCTGCACCTCAGTTAACAATAGCCATCTACC